TATTTACATGTCTCCATTGGAGGCATTTTATGGGAGAATATGTAGCCTCCGCTTGACGGTTAAAGGTAGGTGAGTCTCCTCTTATCGGTTCAAAAATAGTTCATGAGGCCGTGGAGAAAGTCCAAATTATTAGAGATTGTCACACCCCTTTTTCGCGCAGCAGCGTAAGGAATTTTCCAATATAAGTGACTTTATTAATTAAGGGTTTATTTTATTTTTTTCAAAGTCGCCACTTGGAATTGAGTGATGGTGTTCCAATTCACCTTTTTATTTTAATCCTAACAAAAATGAAATGACATTTTTAGTTTTGGTCTGTGAACCAGTTTGGGTAAGGAATTTTATTGACGGATAGGAAGGTATAGGCATTCCTCGAGTCCCGTGGTTCTAGCACGGTCGCTTTATAAACTTGTATGACAGAAACTAATTTTTTAAAAATCTATTGTTAAAAAAAATGTATTTACCCTCGTTTTTTATTTATTTAAATATATTAAAACTATATTATTTTATTATCTATGCCCTTTATTGAAAAATATATATACGTTTATAAATTAAATCAAACCAAGCAGAATAAAATAAGATATTCTTTATTTTACTTTTACTTTTGCTATTGTTTTTTTTGTTACGTTTCTTTTTTTTCTCTTTTCAACATCTCATCTTTTACTATTATTATTATTATTATTATTATTATTATTATTATTATTATTATTATTCTTATTATTATTATTACTACTACTACTACTACTACTACTATTATTATTATTATTATTATTATTATACTTTCAAGGTTTTATTTGTTTTATTTTTATTTAACTTAATTTTTTTCTGTTGGGACAAAGAAACTTTAAAAAAATTTCCTTCCTCTTCAATTGCATATTTTTAAATATTATTTTTATACTTCTTTTTGTTTTATTTTTTCCTTCTGTTTGCTCTTTTCCCCCTTTTTATTATTCTTTCTCACATTTTATTTTCAACTTTTCCTTTTTCTTTTTATTATTATTTTTTTCCATTTTTATTCAATTTTTTTACGTCACAAACATTAAGAGAACATCCTACTAACTAAAATTAATATATTTACAAAATAGCTACACATGTTATCATAATAAAACTAAATATGAAAAATTAAAATTACTTAGGACAATAATTTTACTTAAATATAAACTAAACCATGGGTATTTAAATATGAATTAAATAACGGTTTGTTATAAAAATTTCACACTAAATATTACTATACAAAGGATCTAAACATACAATTTAATAAGAAATATTTGAACATATGAAATATTTGAACATACTTCATATAATTACATCAATAAATATTAATGGTTTAAACACATGCATAATTTAACAACTTAAATATATTGCAGTCCATTCTTGCATTATCATTACATAAAACAAATACAAAACAAAATTAAGTATTACCTCTTGTGGAAATTATTTCACGAAAAGAAAGAATTTAGGAACCACGAACTTGAAACCTTGAACTTTACTAGTTTTTAATTATTTTTTTCTGTGCGTGTATTCTTCAAAAATAAAAATGAAAAGTTTTTTTTGTTGTTTCATCAATTTTTTTTCCTCTTTTCCCTTTTTGTTTTCTTTTTGCTCTTTTTCGTTTGCTAATTTTTCTTTTTCCTTCCTCTGTTGCTGATTTTTTTCTCCTCCCTTTTATTAATTTATATATAGTTATGTATATGTGTGTATGTGTGTATGGAAGAGTTGGATTAACGGAGTGAGGTGTGGGGTGAGTGGAGAGAAATGGTGAAGCGGGGGTGAGATAATGGGTATATTAATTTCTTTTAAATATTTTTTATATGTAATAATAATAATACTAATTAAGAAAAATTAAATAGCTAGATTAAATAAATATAAAAATTAAAATAACTAATTTATTAGAACTTTGAATTAATATATAAAAATATTCCTTAAAGTGTAATACTATTTTTTGTGGTTTTTATATCTTTTAAAAATAAACTTCATAAAATAAGATAAAACTCAAAATATTTATAAAAAATATTTAAGCTCTAAAAAGGATATAAAACTTAAATTAAGTCAAAAATTACGTGTTTACAGTTTGCCTCTCTTTGACTGAAATCACAAGGAGTTTTCAGACAAAAAAGTACACAAAGTGTCAAGTTTTTACCAAAGTATTATTTGAAAGACCAAAATTTATGCGACCGAGTCCTTTTTTTGGGCAGCCTACATATCCCAGAATATAAATGAACCAGGTCACGTGTAGTTCAAGGAGTTGAGGTGATGAGTTGGAGTTAAGTGAGCTTCCATCGAGGCTCTAGATCGTGACTCTTATCCTTACATAAAAATATATAAAATTGAAAGCTAATAGTGAAAAGTAAACTAAATGTACAAACTTCTATCCATAAAGCTTTTCTTGAATCTTCACTTGAATTTTGACTTTAAGATATCACCTTGATTTTTAGGTGACTATCTTAACCTAGAATTGGAATGGAGGCTGAACTTGCCCTTTAGACGGAACTTTTGACATTATTCAAAATGACAAGTAGAAAAATGCTCTTGAATAGCTTTGTGCTTTCTTGATTAAAAGTTGACTAGTAAAAGATGTGAGGATGACATGCTGCTACATGCATTGAAAAAGCTAATTATAACCATCATGGAATCGGTTATCCTAAGAATATTCAAACTTCGTTATTGAACTTAAAATCCATGTTATGCTTGGGAAAACCTGAAAACCACCAAAAATAAAAAAAGAAATAAATTTTTGCCCCAGTTTTCACTGGAATTATTTTTTTGAGTTATTAGCAAATATAAATATAAAACATAAACTCCGACTAGGAAGTTTTTATTTTAGGAGAAGATAGAGTAAAAATATAGACAATGAAGTTTTTATCCTATGATAAAGTAATATAATCACATTATCCAGTAGAGTCCTGCCAGTCCCATTATCCAAAAGGGTCTTGCTAGTCCCATTATCCAGGAGGGTCCTTCTAATCCCATTATCAAGGAGGGTCCTCCTAATCCCATTATCCAGCAGGGTCTTGCTAGTATCATTATCCAGGAGGGTCCTGCTAATCCCATTATCCTGTCGGGTCCTGCTAATCGCATTATCCAGGAGGGTCCTGCTACTCCCTTTATCCAAGAGGGTCCTCTTTGTCCCATTATCAAGGAGGGTCCTTCTAGCTCAGTTATCCAGGAGGATCCTGCTAGTCCCATAATCTAGGAGCGTCCTGCTAGTCCCATTATCTAGGAGGGTCCTGCTAGTTCATTATCTAGGAGGGTTCTGCTGGTCCCATTATCCAGGAGGGTCCTATTAGTCTAATTATCCAGGATTGTTCTGTTAGTACTATCATCCAGGAGGGTCCAGCAAATATCATTATCTAGGAGGGTCCAACTACTCCCTTTAACAAGAAGGGTCCTGCTTGCCCAATTATCCGGGAGGGTCCTCATTAATGCATTTTCCCAAAGGGTCCTGCTAGTCCCATATATGGGAGGGTCCTGCTAATCCCACTATCCAGGAGGGTCCAGCTAGTCACATTATCCAGGAGTGTCCATCTAATAAAATTTTCAACAAACTAATAAAACCAATGAACTTTGTTAATATTATCTTCATTATTTGGCAGTTCCTGAAGGAAATAATAATAATAATAATAAATAAAATAAATATTCCAACATTCAGGTAATTGCTATTTTGATATATATTAGCCAATTTTCATATAATATTCCACAAGTCTTTATTTTAGGGTTTCCATTTCACTCGATGTAGACTAGGTTAAACATCTAGGTTCCTCAATCGCAATCTTTAACCAACTTGTGTCACTACTTAAACAAAAAAAAATTAGTGAGTTTGAAAAGGTGGTGATTGGTTTTTGGTTCCATATTTCGACAAGGGTGACTCAAAAGCTTGTGATGCTTTGGTTGTTTCCAACGGTCAATACTTCTCATTGATCGATTGTCTTTTCATTCAAATTCGCTCATTTTTGGACCTAAATCCAATGTCTTTATCCCACAGCACTCATTGTTTAGCCTTTGTAGAATCAGAGAATTTTTGAATTCAACACTAGAAGACATATTATAACTCATTAGTATAATTCTTCGCCTAGTACCATTTAGACACTTGTTAGCGAGTCTTGAAATTCCTTCCTAGTTTCTTGACAGAGACTCGACACAAATACATACGAAAAAATGTAACGAAAAGTATAAGAAACTTACGAACTATATGAGAATAAAAGAAAAGATTTGATGAGGACTCTGTTTTTTGTAAGAAGAAGAAATAAAAACTTATCTTAGTGTAGGATCTGAGTCTACTGATCATGCCTTGCAGTTTTTCTGATTTCCAAACTTGTCTACCCAATCTATTAATCAACCATTATTGATCATTAAATCTTGATGTGGAATCCCGACACTTAATGAAGCCATATATAATTTTGAACACTCATTCACTTTATGATATTGAAGAAGGTCTTTGCCACTAAAACTCTATCAGGTTAATTGCTCAAGCTCATGTCCGCCTTATGGTGCTTTTCAGAATTTTTACCAATAAGACTCTCTCATATTCAACTCCTTTTCGCCTTACAGATCCCACTTATGGTTTTGACACATTAAGACTCTCTAATTTTTATTTCTTTCTACTCACATTTGTCATATGGTTCCCATTCAGGATTTTTACCTACCCTTTACCTACTTACTCTCGACATATCAAGGGTTGATGCAAAGATATTTCTTTGATTGACTTTAGAAGATGGGGTTGATTTTGAGCTTTGAGATTAGAGACCAAATGAATAAACAAACAAATTTTTCCCCATTTTACTACAATATGAATTTTTGGATTTGTATGTGGTTAAACCGAACCCAATATTAGGGATGCCTATATATTTTGCAGAAACAAGAATCAGGTCGAATTTAGTTCAAGAAATTTGTTTTTTTAAAGCTCAAGGAAACAACTTAACCAAGAGATACCATTGAATCAACCCTATAAATTTAAAGCCCAAACATAAGGTTTTCTAATGTCAAAAATCAAATCATATGTAATATCATTTCACATCATCAGCATTGACGATTATTTGTATCACTTTGCCTTCTATATCTACTATGTAAAGAGAGCCATTGGGTAATACCCTTTTAACAACGAATGGTCCTTTCCAATTTTGAGAAAATTTGCCTTTGGTTAAGGCATGATGTGTCAAAATGCGTCTCAACACTAATTGACCCTCTTCAAAATGTTTAGGACGCACCTTTTTGTTGTATGCTCGTGCCATTCGTTTCTGATATAATTGTCCATGATATACTGATGTAAGACGCTTCTTACAAATCAAACTTAATTGCTCTAACTGAGTTTTTATCCACTCATCATCATCAATTTCAGCATCCACGATAATTCGTAAAGATGGGATCTCAATCTCTGCAGGTATAACAGCCTCAGTCTCGTATACTAGTGAATATGGGGTAGCGCCCACTAACGTACGGACTGTAGTGTGATAACCCAACAAAGCAAAAGGCAACTTTTCATGCCATTATCGAGAACTTTACACCATCTTACGAAGTATCATTTTTATATTTGTGATAGCAGCTTGTAAAACCCCATTTTCTTTTGGGCGATACAAAGTCAAATTACGATGCTCAATCTTAAGCTGGTAGCATACCTCCTGCATGAAGTGGTTGTTAAGATTTGCGGCGTTATCAGTTATAATCACCTTTGGAATACCAAACTTACAGATGATGTTGAAATGGATGAAATCCACCAAGACCTTCTTGGTCACTGACTTGAAAGTTAATGCTTCCACGCACTTTGTAAAATAATCAATGGCCACCAAGATGAAACTGTGATCATTCGATGCTTTTGGTCCTATCGGTCCAATCACATCCATTTCCCATCCCACAAAAGGCCATGGAGCAGATATTACATGCAACTCAGAAGGGAGAGAATGTATCAAATCACCATATATTTGACATTAATGACATTTCCGAACAATCGTATGGAATCCTGCTCCATGGTGAGCCAATAATATCCTGCTCGAAGTATCTTCTTTGCTAGAACATATCCATTTATATGAGGTCCACATACTCCTGAGTGTACTTCAATTATGATTGTGGAAGCCTATTGAGAATTGTCACACCTTAGAAGACGTAAATCAGGTGTCTTCTTGTACAGTATGCCTACGCTTATGGAAAAAAACCCCTTGCTATTCGTCGAATAGTCCTTTTTTGATTACTAGTTACATCCGACAAACATTCTCCGTACTAAAGATATGTTTTGATATCATGAAACAAAGGATTACCATAGAATTACTCCGAAATTATGTTGCAATATGAAAGTTTATCTCAAATTTGTATGTATAAAGGGTCGATGTGAGCGTCATCAGGGTGCTGGAGCATCGAAGATAAAGTGGCTAATGCATCTGCAATCTCATTGTGCACTGTGGGAATGTGCCTAAACTTTATCGACACGAGTCGTTGAAAAAGACCTTGAAAACAATGTTGATATGGTATGAGCTTTTGGTCTCGAGTTTCCCATTCTCCTTGAATTTGTTGAACTAGTAAGTATGAGTCTCCTAGCACTAAAAATTCTTGGATGCCCATGTCAACAGCTAACCTCAGGCAAATAATGCACGCTTCATACTCTGACATATTATTAGTACAATAGAATCTAAGTTGGGCTGATATAGGGTAATATTCCCCTGATTCAGACATAATAACAACTCCTATTCCAACTCTTTTCTTGTTAGAGACACCATCAAAAACTAACTCCCAGCCTTGACTGTTATCGTGAATAACTTCATCGTTACAAGATATGTCTTCGTCTAGAAAATAGGTTTTAAGTGTTTCATATTCTTCATCAATAGGGTTCTCTGCCTAATGATCTTCCAATGCTTGAGCTTTCATTGTTGTGCGCCTTACATAAATAATTTCAAACTCTGTGAACAATATTTGCCGTTTCTCAAACCTACCTGTGGGCATGAGCTTTTGAAAAATATAGTTCAATGAAAGATAATGTTTCAACTCATGTGCTACCCAAGTTAGGGCACAACACATTCTTTCATGAAGGGTGTACTTCGCTTCATATACGGTAAATTTCTTGCTAATGTAATAAATGGCCATCATGCTGACATATACAATATCAAAGGTCTTCCCGGCTCGGGAGGGACCAACACAGGGGGATTTTATAGGTAATTCTTAATTCTTTCAACAGTTTCTCTAAATTCTTCGATCCACTCGACTGTGGCATTCTTTTTGAACAACTTAAAGATAGGCTCACAAGTTGTTGTGAGTTGAGCAATGAATCTGCTGATGTAGTTTAACCTTCCTAGAAGGCTCATAACTTCAGTTTTGTTTTTTGGGGGTGACGATTCTTGAATTGCTTTTAATTTTTAATGATCCAACTCGATAACTCTTCGACTGACTATAAACACATAATCTTCCCTGATAATACTCCAAATACACATTTTCCAGGATTAAGCTTGAGATTATACTTGCGGAGCCTTTCGAAGAATCTCCTTAAGTATTTCACATGATTTGACTATTTTTTAGATTTAATGATAACATCATCCACATAAACTTTGATTTCTCTATGCATCATATCATGAAACATTGTTGTCATTGCTCTTAAATAAGTTTCCTCTGCATATTTTAATCCAAAAGGCATAACACGATAACAATATGTACCCATGGAGTGATAAAAGATGTTTTTTCTACATCTTTGTGATCCATAATAATCTGATGGTAACCCGCATATCAATCCACAAAAGATGCAACCTCAAGTTTAGCACAACTATCCAATAAAATATGGATGTTAAGCAAAAAAATCATCTTTTCGACTTTCTTTGTTCAAATCACGATAATTAATGTACATTTGAACTTTGTGTCTTTCTTACGAACGGGTACAATATTTGCTAACCAAGGATTTGGCCTCAAGTGGTTTTGTGATCTCTTCTTTAATTATTACACTCATGTCGGTTTTGAGTTTTCTCAACTTCTGCTTTATCGGAGGAAAAATAGGATCAATTGCCAACTTATGAACAACCATTTCAGTGCTTAATCAAGGCCTGTCATCATAAGATGACGCAAAAGCATCTTTGTAATCAAACATGGCGTGGATTATATCGTACTTTTGATGTCGAACATGTACATTTATCTTAGTCTCCTTAATAATTTCCTGATCCCCCAAATTTATTGTCTAAGTTTCACTCATGTTTGTATTTTACTTTTTCTCAAAATGATTAAAATCCCTCCTTACTTCTTCAAATACTCTGTCTTCATCATATTCGATTTCTTGACTTATTATTTCAATATTAGGTCGAAGATACGATTCGATATTAAGATCTGGCAAAAATTTCTGCATGCATGTCATATACATAGAATCGGCATAGAAAGAACTGTATAAAAGAAAATGAACAACTATATTAGACTGAAATAAAGATGCAATTACATCCTATTGAAAAAGGAAATAGAGTTTTCGAAAGAAAATGACAATATAAAATCCGAATTACAATCCTTGAATAAAGCCGAGACAAAAGAAAAAATAAGACAGACTACCAAGACTCATCTTTAACGGGGAGAAGGGTGGCCTCCCAATTGTTTAGCTTGAAATCAGGACCAATGAATTGCACATCCGTGTCGCTAGTGCCTTGTCCGAGTTCCACCATATCAACCTTGACAAATAAATCTTGAAACTAGTGGATCATATCTTCGCTTACTTTCATCAATGTCTCTGGAAAAGATGATTGATAAGATTCTATTGCGCGGGCTTTAATGAAAGATTTGTAGATTTGTTGTATATGATTGGTAAGTGATGATACATATCTCTTATGCTTCTTTTGTCTTCATTTTGTCCTCTACTCTAGGTTGGTAGCCTAAGACAAAAGTACCGATACTCTTTCATAGACTCATTGGACAAGCTCTCCCTTACGTAAAGATACCTAAGCCTTTACCTCACTCAAACCCATGTTTCAGAAATTCATTCACCACCATTACAGACGCGAAAGGAAAAGAATTGGATTTGAGATGACACTCCCCTCAAGGACATGCTCAACACCCACTACCTGAAAAGATTGATAAACTAGTGCCTCGTTCTCATTATTCGCCTAAATAAAAGGGTCGGAAGAGTCTTTGTAGATTGACAAATCCCGCTCACGATGAACAATCACCTCTTGTCAGTCGTATTCATACATAATCATTTGATGCAACGTTGAGGGGACTGCTCTAGCCATATTCACCCATGTCCTCCCCAATAATAGATTGTAGGACGCGTTTATATCCAACACTTGAAAATTCACAGCAAAATCCACAGGCCCTATTGTAAGTACGAGCTCAATCTCACAAATGACATCTGTTTTTGACCCATCAAAAGCACTAACACATACAATGTTGGGTCGAACCCTTTCAGCACTAACATTCAATTTCTGTAGAGTTGATTAAGGAAAAATATTTTCTCCTGATCCTCCATCAATTACAACTCGAGTTACATATGAAAGCTCACACTTTACAGTGATATGGAGGCCTTGGTTATGTCATGTACCTTCTTTGGGTAGTTCATCATTCGAAAAGGTGATGCGGTTTATCTCAAATATTCTCCCAGCAGTCTTCTCTAACTGACTCACTGTAACTTTACTAGGAAAATGTACTTCGTCAAAATTTTCATTAAAGTCTTACGATGTTCATCAGCATGTATTAGCAAACATAACAAAGAGAATTGGGGTTGAGTTTTTCTTAGTTGTTCCACCACGGAGTAGTCTGATAGCTTCATCTTCCTTATGAATTCCTCAGCCTCTCCTTCAGTGAGCGGACTCTTCATTTGTATGTGGTCATTTTTAGTTTTCTTAATTCAATCGGGACATAACATCTTCCTGAACGGGTTATTCCTCATACTTCTTCTATTTCTTCATTAATTTCTTTTCCCTTGTATGTCACGAAAGTAGGCTCATAATTCCAAGGAAAAACTTTGGAGTTAGTCATTTGGAGCTGGGATACTAGCTTGATAATCAGTGGAAGAATATGGGCCCCTTCCACGATCATGATAGGCTTGTTTGTTCTTTTTGGTACAAACGATCTTGCCTTATTCAGACATGCCCAAACATCTTCAAGGACTCCCTCCTTTCACAGTTAAGAAGGGTGTGTTTGATGGACTCCACTTTTCTAACCTACTTTCCGCCCCTAAAGGCATCATTTTTGTTAAATCAACAACATTTGCCGACTTGCCTATGCCAGTTCCAACCTTAAGGATTGGCTTATATGGAGACGCAAACTCTTCGTGACACTTCACCATTTCTAGCATGTTTGTTTCTGTATGCCTCTGCAATGGATTTTTATTGATGTTGGGTCCACTCGGACTTTCAACTATAATTCGATTTTAATCGATCAAATACTGAATGGCCCTTTTCAAATATAAATATCTATCTATGTTGTGCCCTGGGGCATTAGAAAAATATGCGCAATGTTGAGAATAATAAAAATTTCTCGGGGGAGGACTCAGCATCTTTCTCTAAATAGGTATCAAATATTCAACGTCCTTAATTTTTCGGAACAAGCTAGAATACGACTCCCCAATATGAGTGAACTAATCTTTGACAACATTTCCCTTCATATATTATGGTCTAGGACAAAAAGAAATTCTAGCAGTAATTTGATGAACTTGTGGGGGTGATGGATTATTTTGTTGAGTCGGTGCACTCCATTGTGGATAAGAAGGTGGTGCAATTGGTTGTGCATTCTAAACATGATATGGAGAGTATGAGAAAGAATATTGTGGAGCTTCGGAAGGAAAATAGTTTTGTGGGGAATTATCCAAGACATGAGTCCTAGGCTCTGTTACAATAGTGGCCGTTTCCTCCCTTCTCTTCTTCTCGCTAACATTTCCAGAACCATTTTGAAG